GATTGGTTTTCAGTGTTTCTATATCTTTACTCATGGTGTTGATGTCCTTACTCATGCTGGTGAGCAAGATCATGGCTCTGAACTTTACCTCTGATAACTTGCTTAACTGCATTTCATTTATTTAATCTTTGATAGAGTTCTTTTGTTCTTTCATTTGGAATTTGTTTCTTTGTTTCACCATGTTGGCTATCTCAGTGGGTTTTGGAGCCTGCCAAATTTTCCCTGTGGGTGTTGGTGTTCTGCTGTTTGTGGCTCCCTCTACTGTGTTTAGATGAGCAAGGAGGACCCACATTAAACACCACTGTCAAGTCTTACTTTCCTGGGTAGATTTGTAAGTCCAGGAATGGTTCAGTTATCCTCTAGCTTTTTGCCTAGACGCTATCAGTGGAGGTTACTTGAAGAGCCTTGGTTTCTCAGTTGAATGAAAAACTCCCTCAGGTATTCAGCATAAGAGGATTTCCTGAGGGTGGGGCAGACGCTGGCTGTTAATGAGCCTCAATTTGCATTTCTTTGGCCCACCTGGGTGGGGTTGAGTCTTTGAGGGAGGGGCCACCACCTCTCCCCAGAGCCCTGGGAAGGAGTAAGATGGCCACCATCCTGCGTGGCCGCAACTCAGAAAGCTCTGAGTGCCCTCCAAATCCCGAGTGTCTCCACACAGTTCCAGTCCAGTTCACCCTCCCTGTGCCAGAGCCCAAGGTGAGAGGCTGTGGCTAATTTAGCCTCTGTCCTGGCACTCTGCGCTGTGGAGCCAGCTTGGGAGTTTAACCCTGAGGGCGCTGCTCACAGCTAAGGCTGCTGCTGTCCGTGGGCTCCCAGTCCCTGGTGCCTCCACAATCCTACCAGGATTGATTCAGTGTCCCTTGTTATATGATCCTCGCAAGTTGCTTTTTCCCGACAATTTGTCTTTATTATAGTTGTAATTCCAGTTTGCTCCTAGGAGATGGTCTATGTAGCTTCCATTCACTCTGCCACCATTTTGGAATCCCCTACTCAGATTTTAAATCTATTTTTATCTAATGGTTGTGCTGAACCATATTACTAATTTCTTTTAAATTAAAATGTGCCTAAATATAAAGGAAAAATACTAGTATATCAATGCTATATTTTAAATTGTTTTCTCAGTTTATAGTTTCATAAAATATATTGGATGTTAATATATCTTATAGTTTTCAATTAAATGTGGTTTATAGAAATTACTATGTGGCCATAAGAACACATGATATTCAGGAAATAATAAACAGTTCAGGTGGAAGAGAACAGGGAAACATAAAGATGATCCTTATCATTCCATATTCTTTTCCCAGTAGCTTTTGGTCGCTACTGACACTACCCATATCACATGCTTTCTTTCTCCCATTGTTACAAATTTATCAAAATAGCACTTGTTAAGTGCAGCATAAGATGTTGGGTGATGAGCCTCTATCCAACAACAAACCACAAGGCAAATTGAAATAGACTTTATAACTCACAGGTCTTGGAGGAAATACCAGGTTACCCTTGAGGGGCCACATGGGGAGATTAAGGCAGAGTACAGACAGAGAGAGAGATAGGACCTGGGGCACCATGCTTTTGTTAGGGTCCATAGGTGGAATGCCTTGAGTTTCCCAGGCTAAGGTGGATTGGTCAATTTAAATCAAAAGAGGGGAGGTTTGCTATGTTTCGTGATAGTCTTATCTAAGGGCAGGATAAGATGAAAGCCCATGGGAGGCGGGAGAGGTTGTTGATGACAAGAGTGGTTGGAAAACTATATCAGGAACTTACATTTGCTTGTGACTCTTCAGGTTGCCATATGGGCATGTTCTTGCATGAGGGGCTAGTGTCCCATTCAAGTTACTGCAGGCCACTTGGCCAAACAAAATGGATAATGAGGCAACATCACCAGGGAGTAGCTTAGCTAAACTCTCCACACCCATGCATTATTTATGTTTTTCTACAAGTGCATTTTTAAGATTACATAAATGGTCTTTGCTTATATAAAATAAATTAGAGTTTATAAAATAGAGAAATGAGTAGATGGTTTTGAACTACTCAATAAGATTTAATTCACAAAGATTTATTTAAGGTCTTTTAGAAACCGTGAGCACAAGTTCACTTAAATGATATTTCAATTTATAATGGTTTAATTAACACTGAACCATCAATCAAAATGAGGCATAGTTATGTAAGCAAAATGGAAAAATAAAACTAAAATACTTTAATAGATTTTCTAGAAGAGTCCACGGTGCCATGTGCAATGCAAATAGCAGTGTAATTGGACTTGAGTTACTTTTGACATCAGCTCTGTTAATAATTAATTGCTTCTAACAGAAAATTTTTTTAACTTCAGCTTCCTTATCTGAACCATGAAGTAGCTGAATTAAAAATGTGGTTACAAAACTATTAAAAATCCATAATATGCTCTTCAGAAATATTCAGACACCTGCCACAAGTGAGATTTTTGGATTTCCAACCATTCTTGTCAAATCCATACAATGCAATTCTGCTCTCATCTGATCTGTTGCGAATCCCAGAATATTTTTTTTCATAAGGAAAAGCTTACACTACTCATAGTTTTGAAAAACAACTTGATTTCTAAGGTCATTTGTGACATTGTTCTATTTTCCATTACCCAAATGGGGAGATTGACACTAAAGTCATATTAACTTTGAGAAAGCGTTTTCAGAAAATAATTTATTAAGAAAATAAATGTTATGCAACTGTTTTCAAAGTAGTTGTGAACATTTGAGGATTTTGAGGACCAAAAAATATTGTGCCCTTTTACAGTTTTCCCTGTATACATGTCGTCTGCTTTTTGTTTGTTTGTTTAAAAAAGTAGTCCATATGTCTTAGCGATTCATAGTAAAATATTTACCCATGAAAAGGTGTTATATTTAGCATTTGCTTCAAAATAGTTAAGGATATAGCTAAATGAGTTGGGTTATAGATAAAACCATATGGCTCTGGAGTTGATAACTGTTAACACTAAATAATGAGCAATGGAGTTTCACTATAATATTATTGTAACATTTGCATATTTTTTATTTTCCTATAGAAATATATATTTTTAAGATTCTACTTGAAAATAATTTAGTTTATTTATTACATGATATTTTATTTTATAGTCAAGAGCAATTACTGATTCACTTAGGTTTCAGTGAACAGACCTGTTCCAAGAGATTTTACTGTCTTAGATGGTATTTCTTTTTCTTCAGCTAAGTTACATTGCACCTTTTATTTTCACTATCAATTCACAGATGTGGACAAAAAGAAATTTTAGATAAGTCATTAAAATCACCTCTACTCATCCTCCACCCAGTCACATTTTTAAGTTAATTTAACAATTGACAATTATATTATTAGTTTAGTTATAGACATCTATACATTTTTTAAAACAGTTTTAATAATGTAAAATGACTCCTGGTAGACCATTAGACCTTGCTGTAATATTTTCAGGCACTTAGAATGACTATATAGTACACTTCCCACTCCTACTGAAAACACGAATTTTAGTTTTATTATGGTTCTGGTCTAGAATGTGATGTTCCCTCTTGTACAGTTACTAAATCAGTCTTCTGTCAATTCAGAAATCTGGGAAATTGAAACCATTTTGCCTTTACTCTTAAACATTGCTTCATTTCCTTTTCATTTTGAAACTGCTCTATTATGTGTCACTGTCTAATAGATGGCCAGATGGTGCTATTCAAAATCTTCCGTTTATCCTAAAATCAAACTCCAGTGAAAAATGAAGTTTAGAAAATTTTACACTACTGAAAGTTATGTTTTAATAACTGACTGTTGTTTCATTTACATCAGAGACGGTTATAAATTATCTTCTTTATTTTAAAGTAATTAAGGAAAATCCTCTTTACTTAATGCATCTTCCCTGTAAATTGAAGCTAATATGCAATAATACATCCTTATTTATTTTAAGAAAGTAATGTATTTAATCCATTAAATGTAAATGATCTTTTGACATTCGTGCTATATAATTTGTAGATTGAAATATTCATTAGTATAGAATTTATAATGTTTTAATATATCTGTACTGAGTTTGGGAAATATTATATTTGAAAAATTGGACACAAGATATTCAACACTATGTTATATACCACTATTACACTGATGTGTCTACTCCAGCTCACATCTACGGTTTTATAGTTCCCTCATGACCAGGTAACAGAAAAGGGAAAATGCTAAACTTGGTTCATGGATGGACCAAATAGGTACATAATTCAAGTCCTAGCTGTTTGAATGCATTGCTGCTATACTACAGTTCTTAAGGTTGACCTTGAAAGAAAGTGGTGAGAAAAAATCTGCCTAATGGACAGAGATTGTAGGAGTGCTCTTAGTCACCCAAATTATATGAAAATAAAAGTGGCCTGGCCTGACCAGTATGGCTCAGTGGACTGAGCGTTGGCCCATGGACTGAGAGATCCTGGTTTTTTCCCTATCCGGGCACATGCCTGGGTTGCCAGCGAGATCCCCAGTAGAGGGCATGCAGGAGGCAGCTGACTGATGTTTCTTCCTCACAACTATGTTTCTCTCTCTCTCTCTTCATCTCTCTCTAAAAAAATCTATCATCTATCTATCTATCTATCATCTATCTATCTATCTATCTATCTATCTATCTATCTATCTATCTATTTTAAAGTGGCTTGGGATTAGAATTTATATTTCATGGATGTTGGCAAATAGGTTGATTGGCTGTTCTCGGACCTAAAAGGAGAAAGATTTAAAAATCAGAGACAAGATAGTCTGGGTAAAGCTCATGTATCACATGCCTACTAGATTGCATTCTCCCTAACAGTAACTCAACAATCAAATAGAATGACTTGGCTAGTAGACCTCTGCCTGTCCCTGCCATTAGCCACTCATATTCTGTCACAATGGGCTCAGAGACAGATTAGCCATAGTGGCAGACAACGGCCCTACCATAATGAGATCTCACTCAGCAAGGCTGGTTAAACTTTGGTCCCAGCGGCTGCAGCGCTGAGCCAGCCGGGCCCACCCTCGGGCTCTCAGCACCTCCACTCAGCTCTGAGCCCGCTGCACTGCCTGCGCTGCGCGTTACCATGACGGAATTCGCCATCTCCTTCAGCAAGGACTTCCTTGCCGGAGGCGTCGCTGCTGCCATCTCCAAAACGACCGTGGCCCCGATTGAGCGGGTCAAGCTGCTGCTGCAGGTGCAACATGCCAATAAGCAGATCGCAGTGAACAAGCAGTACAAGGGCATGGTGGACTGCTTCGTGCGCATCCCCAAGGAGCAGGGAGTGCTGTCCTTCTGGAGAGGCAACATGGCCAATATCATCTACTACTTCCCTACGCAAGCCCTCAACTTTGCCTTCAAAGACAAGTACAAGCAGGCTTTCCTGGGGGGCGTGGACAGGCACACGCAGTTCTGGAGATATTTTGCTGGCAACCTGGCTTCTGGTGGGGTGGCGGGGGCCACCTCCCTCTGCTTTGTCTACCCCCTGGATTTCGCCAGAACCCGTCTGGCGGCCGATGTGGGAAAATCAGGCACCCAGCGGGAGTTCAAAGGCCTAGGACACTGCCTGGTGAAGATCACCAAGTCGGACGGTATCCGGGGCCTATACCGGGGCTTCCCGATCTCCGTGCAGAGCATCTTCCTCTACCGGGCTACCTACTTCGGCCTGTACGACACGGCGAAAGGCATGCTCCCTGATCCCAAGAACACCCACATTGTGGTGAGCTGGCTGATCGCCCAGAGCGTGACAGCGGTGGCGGGCCTGGTCTCCTACCCATTTGACACCATAAGGCGGCGGATGATGATGCAGTCCGGGCGCAAAGGAGCCGACATCCTGTACAGGGGAGCCATCCACTGCTGGCAGAAGATCTTCAAGGACGAGGGGTACAAGGCCTTCTATAAGGGCGCTTTGTGCAATGTCCTCAGGGGCATGGGTGGGGGCTTCGTGCTGGTGCTTTACGATGAGCTGAAGAAAGTCATCTAGGCGCATCCCCTCTTCTAGATGCAGGGACCTGGAGAGTTGCACCGAATACTTCACTGCTATGGACCATTGGGCTTCCAGAAAGTTTTATCTCTTCGACTAGCCTCTGCCAACACACATCATGTGTAGATGTCTAGGGAGGGCTCTAGAACGGATTCATTGTGATCACAACTGGCATCTTGATTCCAAGCATTGATTACGGGGGGGAGGGGATTCCTGATGTCTTGGCGTTCCACAGACAGGACAACTCCTTTACACAGACCTAGAGCCCATGTGTTTGTGGGACTGAGCTGCAGTTAAGCATTTATTTAAAGAAAGTCATGTCTCCCACTTGTACTCAATCACTGTTCTCTTTTGCACATCCGACTACTTGTGATAACCTTTCTATGTTGGACATTCTGCTTCAAACAATAAAAACAGGACAGAAGAAAAACTATTTAAATTACTTATGCTACTAAATGTTCCACATACCAGCAATGGAGACCAAAGCCGAGACTGTCATTCATCATGATCCCCCAACGAATCTCAGGAATTGGTCACATTGAACCACTTTCACTCTGGAAGAGATAACATTTCAGCTTGATAATCAACACGTTACTAGTATAGACTTGCCTTTCCGTCCCATAGGGCCTCAGTCAGACCACTATTGCAGGGCTTATCGAGTACTTGATTAATCAGTATAGGATATTGTTTAACATCGTGTCAAACAAAGGACCCCTTTAGAACAAAGGACAAGCAACTGTGGGTGTATGATGATTGACTACACTTGTTTTATTACATATAACATCATCAGGAAGTTTCTGGGGAGACTGAGTAATGAAACACTCTTAAAAGGCACAGCTAAGGTCTTTGCTTACAAATGATACCCTGAAAGGATGTAATGACATCTTCTAGGACACAGTATACACACTAAATTAATGATTCTATACCATACATTAATTTTGTGTCCTGTGATATTGGATAGATGGGCACAGGAAACAAGGGATAAAAGTTGCAGTTGTCCCATTTAGCATTGCTCACAGTGACTCATGTGCTTTCCATCACTGTAATTCTAGGATCTAATGTGCATATACATACTGGTTTCTAGGGAGAGAGTCTTTGTATCTGGGGACACAGAAAGAATCTCATACATTTTAAGCTATAGTTGCCAACTAATGACCAAGAAATGACTCCAAGGGATGGAGTAATTCAGTTGAGAAAGTGAAAGGGAAAGTACGATAGGTGAATGTGTAAACTCCAGAGCATAATATATGTTTTTCTTAGAAGATCATTAGAAGACAATTACAAAGAACCAAATTACCATAAATAAAATGTAAAATAACATGGTATGAAAAAAAATGCTTTTTTTAAAATGGATTTCCAGATGTAAAAAACAAACAAACAAACAAAAAAAAACACACTATTTTTAAAAATATGTTCTTATTGATTTTTCTTTTTTAGAGAGAAAGGAAGGGAGAGGGAGATAGAAATATGGATGTGAGAAACGTCAAACAGCTGCCTCCTGCATGACCCCTACCGGGGATTAAGCCCTCAACCCTCACATGTGCCCTGAACAGGAATCAAACCAGTGACCTCTTGGTTCATGGGATGATGCTCAATCTACTGAGCTACACTGACAGGGGGAAAAACTATTTTATAAGTGATAGCATTGACTGTAATTATCCAATATCCAATCCTTAACATACTTGACTTAAAAAAAATCTTATTATGTTAGCCCAGCCACTGTGGCTCAGTAGATTGAGCATTGTCTCGTGGCCTGAGAGGTCCCAGTTTGATTCCTGGTCAGAGCACATGCCCAGATTGTGGACTCAGTCCCCAGTGAGGGGCATGCAGGAGGCCGCTGACTGATGTTTCTCACTCACATCGATATTTCTCACTCACATCTATGTTTCTATCTCTCTCTCTAAAAAATGAATACAAACATATTTTAAAGAATAATAATAAATGAAAAAGATATAATTATGCTTTATTCTGTGCAATGTATGAATGAATCAAGTGATATATTACTCATTATATGGTGACTGTTCTTCATGACTTAAGGCATTAAATAGAATACTTATCTCCAAATGTAATCTTTCTTTAAAAGACACTAGGAATTGTAACTCAAACTATAGTCTGTGAATCAGCATTATCAACATAATCCATAGCTTGAAGAAATGCAAAATCCCCACCCTAGACCTTTGAAAATAGAATCTGCGTTTTAGCAAGATCTTTCTAGATGATTATATACACATTGAAGTTTGAAGAGCACTGCATCAAGAAGTATTAATTCTAGAGTTTTTCTATCAGAAGAAAACATTTATAATTTTACTTGAATAAATTTGGTTTTTGTATTTTTATTGATTTTTAGAGAGGGAGAAATACATTGATCTGAGAGCAAAACATCGATTAGCTGCCTCCTGTATGCCCCTTACACTGGGGATCGAGCCTGCAACCCAGGCATGTGCCCTGACCAGGAATTGAACCAGCAGCCTTTCAGTGCTCAGGACAATGCCATGCCCAACCAACCGAGTCACACTGGCCAGGGCTTGAATGAAATTTTACATGAATGGAATGAGAGCTTTCCATGGTGAAACTCCAGGTTGATCTCAAGCTAGGACACCTGGACATGCTACTTATTTCTTGAAAATCTAGTAGAAACATTACTTCAATGGGAAGGTCTTCACTTTTCCCTAAACAAACTGAGAGCTCTTTTCCCTCTCTATGCATATTTATTTATAAAGACCATATATTTTTCTTATCACAAAACACAGCAGAAACAATTGGTCTGTCTTCCCTGCGTAATGGTAACTTCTTCCCATCCCATAATACTGGATGTTGGATTTGTATGTTTGTAGCAGTAGCAGTCATAATCCTAATTTTTGACCCTTTGTTTGGCCACAGTGAACTGTTCCAGTGGTAATCATCCACTCAAATAGAGTCACAGGATCTCTGGTGATTTTGGAAGTTAGGAAGAATGTGAGTACCTGGAGTATCACATAATGAACAGGGAACTGTTCATAGTAGCATACAGTTTTCTTGGAAACAGAAGTCATTTTGCAATAGGAGATTGAGACTACAATAGATACTCACAAACAGAAGCAGGAATGAAAGAAATTGAGACGGATTTTGAGTTTCCTAATATTAATCTAGGCCTTAGTTCTATTCTAAGGTTTCTGTGCTTGTCCTGTACTTTATGGAGACTCTCATTATGCTGACAATTTTTGTCTTTTTTGTTCTTGAGCTAGTACAAACTGGGTTTCTTTCTTTTTTTTTGGTACATGCCCCTAGTGGGAACCGAACCTGGGACTCTCTGGTCCGCAGGCCAATGTTCCAACAGCTGAGCCAAACTGGCCAGGGCCTAACTGGGTTTCTAATATTTATAACCACAACATTGTAATATACTGTAAAACACTATAAGATTTGTGAAGGCAGAAGTCTTTCATGTCTTGCTCAGTGTTCTAATCACAATATCTAGAACAGTTCCCGGACAAATTCGGCTCTCAAATTCTTTTTTGAGGGTTAGGAAAAGTAGCATAAATTTATAGTCAATCATCTTCTAGTCGACCATATAAACTTTAAATTTAGCCATGCTTGTTCTTAAATTCTCTGCACAATAGCTCCCGTGTGAATTTCTCACTGAAGATTTCTTCTCCTGGGCTCGCAGCCTTTTGCCATCCTGATGGATTTATACTCTTTCCCTGCTCTCCTCATCATTCAATTCCCTTTTTACCTTTATCTATTAACTATATGTTTAATGAATTAGATAATATCCCATATCTGTACTGTTTACCATTACTGTTTTATGTGATTATAAAAATATGACTAATTTTAATTCTCTAAATTAATTCTTCTCTGAAATAACCCTCAATAGTATGATATTTATATTTCCAACACTTCTGTTGCTTGCTGAGGTGTCAGTCCAGCACCTTTCTTCTGCGTTGGCAAATGGACCTCTGTTTCCTGGGGGAAATCGATTTGGTCTGACTTGGGTTGTAATGACACTGCTCTCTCTCTCAGCCAGTATTGGACGCATTATCCATGGGTTGGATAATTCGAGCATCCATTCTACTTTAGACACGGCAATAAGTTCAAAAATGGGTAAAGGTCTTTCATTGGGCCCACCAAGCCTCCCTGATAGTTTTTCTGTAAAAATAAGGGAGATTCTTTTTTTCACAGGATACAAGTTAATGTCTAACACATGCATATCTTGGTCCAAAATTTGGAACAATAGAAGGCTGTGACATTACTAAAGGCCCTTGCTCCTCGTGTGACTGAGACCAGGGTAACAGTTAATTGTGCCTTAGCGTAGTTTGCATAGAACTTTGTCATCAGAAACAGTTCTAAAAAATACACACATACTACACCTCTGCCAACACACACTATTCCATTGCTAGTTCAAAGTGTATGGCAGAATTTCTCAGAGAACACAATCTTTTATTTAACAAAACAACTTGGAAAGAGATTTGGTTGTGAAAATATAGTTTTTTTTGGATATAATTAGGTTGTTATAAAAATGACAATAATAGCTTAGTTCTTTTGAAATTTAGAATTTCTAATTTTGGGCCGCGTACCTACAGAGGAGGTAGTAGGAGTGCAGTGGTAGACGGGAATTGAGTGAAGACGAGAGCAGGGAAAGAGTGTAAGTCCATCAGGATGGCAAAAGGCTGTGAGCCCAGGAGAGGAAATCTTCAGTGAGAAAGTCACAAGGGAGCTCTTGTGAAGAGCTTTTAAGTGCAAGTGTGGCTACATTTTAAGTTTATATGGTATACTAGAAGATTTACTGTAAAGTACTGCTACTTCTCCTGACCCTCAAAAAAGAAATTCTATGCAAATAGCAAGTAAAAATATATTGGAAACAATACAAGTGTTCAGTAATGTGATTTGTTTAAAAAATTATTTAAATATAATTTTTCTATATGCAAAACAGTAACCAGTTAGAAAATATAAAGAAAAATTAAAATATTTGATAGTGGCACAAAATTAAATACCAAGGAATACAGTTAACAAGAAATTTTCAGGAA